TATCCTTTTTTAAAAAATATATATATATATATTTTTAATGTGGGCCATTTTTAAAGATTTAAAAAATTATTTATTTATTTATTTATGTTTGGCTGCACTGGGGTCCTCACTGCTGTGTGCGGGCTTTCCCGAGGTGCAGAGCGCGGGGGCTGCTCTCGAGCTGCGGTGCGTGGCCTCCTCATTGCGGCGACTTCTCTTGCTGCAGTGCGCAGGTTCTGGAGCACAGGTTCTATAGTCGTGGTGCACGGGCTGAGCTGATCAGACGCACGTGGGATCGTCCCAAACCGGGGATTGAATTCGTGTCCCCTAAACTGGTAGGCAGATTCTTAACCACTAGACCAAGGAAGTCCCCATTTTTAAAATTTTTATTGAATTTGTTACAGGTCTCTGTTTTAGGTTTTGATTTTTTTGGCCATTAAGCATGGGATCTGAGCTCCCTGACCAGGCATCAACCTGCACGCCCTGCATTGGAGGTGATGTCTTATCCACTGGACCGCCAGCGAAGTCCCAAATGCTGTATCTTTGAATTTAAATTTTGTTTTCATTTTATCGTTTTATTTTTTGGCCATGCATTTTGTGGGATCTTAGTTCCCTGACCAGGGATCACACTCAGGCCCTGTGAGTGAAAGCAGTGAATCCTAACCATTGGTCCACTAAGGAATTCCCTCCAATGCTGGATCTTTGGCGAAAAGATCTTTCTAGAATCGGAGCAGACCTTCTTCCTGTATTAGCCAACAGTGTCACAGAAGGGCTGGATGATGAAGCTCCCATCAGAAGTTTGCGCACGTTATTCTTAGGGATCTGTGTGTTTGCTGGGGCTGGGTTGAACCAGGCTGTGTTCAGCTGGAAGGAAGGTCTGGTTTGGCTGCACACGTCTGCCATCCTTTTCTAGAGCCAGGGGCCTCACCTAGGTTGTTCTCAGGCAAAGGTACTGGCTCAAGACAGACACCCAAACCCTCCCAGTGCTTTCGGAGCCCCGCCAGCATCTCATTTACTTGAATCCCTGTGGTCAAAACACACCTCACAGCTGAACCCACAGTCAAGGGAAAGAAGGAAAATGAATATTTTTAACAATAGCCACACATTTTCCAATGTTAACATGTTTAGAAGTGTTCGGAGATCTTGCATATAGGGTGACCATGCCCTCATTTCATTCAGTGCCCTGAACACACTATTTTCGGAGGCTGCCTGGTAGCCCATCCTATAAATGTGCTCTAGTGAATTTAATCACTCCCCAGTGGTTGAACATTTAGGCTGTTCCCTTTTATTGCTGCTATAATTAATATTACAACAGCCCATGGATCTTGGCTCACATTTCATGATGATTTTCTTAGAAATGAAATTCCTAGAAATGAAATTTCTGATCAAAGCAACTCAAAGTTTTAAGGCTGTGGACAGAGAGTTAATGGCAGAGAGCTTTGTTCAAACTCCCTCTTCTAAAGATTACACACAGAATGGACCCCGTAAGTGGAAACTCACTAACTAATTAGAGTCTTCCTTGTAGAACATGTGAGCCTCAAGTGAGTTTGGGTAGCATAAGCCAATTTTGCCCAGGATTGGTCACCCACGAAAATGGGAAATTTACATTTTACTGGGAGAGAAACCCAATGCAGAGACCCTTAGTCAGTCAGCATGTTTATTTTTGCAAATCACCATGGAGGAACACAGAAGAACTAAACCAAGCTTTCTGTGAAAAATATTTCTTTTTTTTGTTATAGAATTCAATTGCTAAACCACACCTGATGACCAAGATATATTACATTTTTAAAAATTGAGTTAGCTTTCTGGCCCCCACCATCAAAGTTGGTGAAGAGTCCAAATTGGTCATTTTTGAGAGGACACACACATGGACACCCAGCCAGGACTACTATATATGCAGTCACAGCCACAGGGGGAGTTAGTCCACAGGCTATGGCCCTTTCTGGAGCTGTAAAGTGATGCCCTCCTCTCCCAGTTAGTTATACAAGAACCGTGGGCCTTGTGCTAGGCAGAAGAGAGACACGAGGGAAGGGGCAGGGCACAACCTTTAAAAGAATGAGTAGCCGTTGAGGACCTAACAGACCGCTTAGAACCCACCCAGCCCAAGATGGCCAAAGACTCACCTTCCAGTGGACCTTGAGCCTCATTGCACACTCACTGAAACACAGCAGCGTCTGAGTGGCACACCCACACCCACAGCCTGAGGCCAACCAGGAAAGGCCAGAAAGGCGTGGCGGCCCAATTCCAGGAAATCTCCGCCCCTTGCCCCCAGTAGTTGGAATAATCTTCCCACTCAGTACCCCATGAAATTTACCCAGTCCATAAAAACGAACCACCCCATCCGGTGGGGCCTCTGACTTTCTGAGATGGCCTGCAGTCAGCCTATGGGGGGTGTGTCTCCCTGGATAAATCTGCTTTCACTCCACTTTCACTTGCTCTTGCATTCCTTCCTGCAGGAAGCCAAGGGCCGTCACTTGGCCTCCCGTCCCAGGGACTCTCCGGCGACTGGGATGTGATCTTCCTCCTGCCCCATTTCCTTCCTGCAACACGAGTATGCCGGGCTCCTGTTTGATGCGACTCCTGACGCGTTCCTTTCTTGCGTGCATGCGCAGTCGCTCAGTTGCGTCCAGCTCTTTGCCGATACCCTCCAGGTGCAGTCAGGGACAGCTCAGTCCTCCCAGGCACCCGCCCGGCCATCTGTATGCCTCGTCCTGCCCTCAGGAAGGGCTGTTAGGACAGGCCCTGGCTCTCAGGCCTGCAGAGCCACCATGCTCTCTTCCACTCTTTTTTTTCCCCTTCCAATCTTGAAGCTTGCAGCCACCATCTCCTTTGCCTCAAATAGTTCAGGCCCTTAGTGGGCCTAAGCGTGGTACAAAAATGCAGACCGTCACCCAAACTGGCCGGTACATAAATAAAAGATGCAAGTGGTATTGTTACCCCCAAACTGGATGTGTGTCTTGGTGAGTTCTGAGCCAAAGGGCACAAACAAGCCAAACATTAGGAGAAGGAAGGATTTATTACTTGCAGGGAGTAAGGAGAACATCAGGGATCTTCCAAAACAGTGTCTCCAGGAACAATAAAATTGGGGACGTTTTAAACTATAAGTACATGCATATTCATGAAGGGGCTTGAGCAGAGGAGAATCCAGCATAGAACTGGGGCAAAGGTTGACAGACTCCAAGTTTTAGTTGATCGAAGTCACCAGGGTCAACATCATCACACACCCTCCTCTTGGGTGGGGCCCTTAGTTCCTGCAGAACTCAAAGGTACTATTAGGTTTGATATAATAATAATAATATCTTCCTTCTGAGGAAGCAGGACTCGCTTTATCACGGCACTGTGATCACTGCCTCTTCTCTGCTCCTTCATGCCTTTGTTCCTTTAAGATCATTAATTACAGAGAGCTGTTCAAGGACAAGCACTGTGACCAGGCTTAGACCAAAATGGCTTCTCTTAGGTCAAGAAAGCCATGCCTAGTTCTCTTTCTCTGGGGACCCCCTAACCTGTCTATGTACAGCATGAGACCTTAGCGGGTGGTGGGATTGCGGCAGACCGGGGAGCACATGCCCTGTCTAAAGGGGATCAACGTGACTTGGATTTTGCCCATTTGTGCTGTGTGAACCTAGGGGGCCAGAGGTGTTCCATCTTTGTGTTTTCCAAGAAAACCCAGAAATTTAGATTTTCCTAAGAAATCTCCCACTGTTTGAACATTGTGATGCATGTTTAAAATTGGTATTAAATTCTTCAAGGCCAAATAAGGATTTCCTGGGCCTCTGATTTCAACTGGTGGCCTCAACCTCAGAAAACATAGGGGGAGGCCATTGCACCAAACAGCTTCCCCTTTTCCCACAGAAAACACAGAGAAGGCTGTGTTCTTCCCCTGGGGCTCAGGGAAGTCAGAGTTCTAGGTTCAAAGGCTGGTTACCTTCTCCGGAGGGATGAAGGGGAAGGGGGTGGGGAAACACCTTTCATTCTTTCTGGAGGAGCCAAGGAACAAGGAGTCCTTTCTCGGCCAGGACGGCTGATGGAGAACATTACAGGCTTGAGTGTTTGGATGACGGCTAGTTGGAAAGTCAGACATAAATAATGTGTAATAATTACATTTATTTATTTAAAAATTAAAAAAAGTTCTATTGGAGTACAGGTTTTTTAACAAGAATATTTATTTATTTGGCTGCACTGGGTCTTAGCTGCACATGTAGGATCATATTCATCACAACTCTTAGCTGTGACATGCGGGATCTAGTTTCCTGACCAGGGACCGAACCCAGGTCCCCTGACTGGGAGCGTGGAGTCTTAGCCACTGGGCCCCAGGGAAGTCCCCGGAGTTTACTTGATTAACAGCATTGTGTTAGTGTCAGGTATACAACAACATGCTTCAGTCCTACGTACATTAATGGGTGCATGCATGCGTGCTAAGTTGCTTCAGTCGTGTCTGACTCTTTGCGATCTTAAGGACTGCATTCCCCCCCAGGCTCCTCTGTCCGTGGGATTCTCCAGGCAAGAATACTGGAGTGGGTTACCATGCCCTCCTCCAGGGGATCTTCCCGACCTGGGGATCCCAAACCTGTGTCTCTTACGTCTCCTTCACTGGCAGATACGTTCTTTACCACTAACACCACCTGGGAAGCCCTCATAATTAATACATCTATGCATCCTTTTTTCATTCTTCAGGAATGAAAGACTGGCGAAGGCTTTCTACCTAGGGCGTGGTGTGACCAGGCCTGCAGTTTTGCAAGCCATGCTGCAGATTGGGGCCTGTGTCAGGGTGGATTAAGAGGCCAAAGGAGGTGGGTGTCAGCAGACCGGGTCCGTGGAAGGGCTGATGCGGGTGTGGGTGGGAGAGAGGAAGGGGCTGTCACAGGCCCAGTGACACAAGAATAATTGGCAGGAAGTGAGGCTCCGCAGAGGGGAAGCAATCAAGATCGCAATCTGGGTGGCTTCGCTCTCCCTTCCTTTCCCGGGTCCCTCAGGACGCTGCTGCGGAAAGCAACGGTTTCATAGGAGGAGGTGATGCTCACCATTAGCAAGGCTTGCAGACTGAAGCCGCTCTTCCCCTTGCAACCCATGCAGCTCTGACATGCACTGTGGTTTACATTTTAACATCTCTGATGCTAGGATACATCAAGTGACCCACGGCATGCTGGAGTTTAATTGGTGTTTGTTATGGGCTAAATTATGTCCCACACAGTTCCTCTGTTTAAACCCTAACCCCCAGCACCTTGGAATCTGTCTATATTTGTATTCCTAAGGTGTGGGAGGAGGAGTTTGGGGTTAGCAAATGCAAACTATTTTATGTAGAATGGATAAACAACAGGGCCCTTCAGTATAACACAGGGAATTATACTCAATATCCTGTAATAAACCATAGGGGAAAAGAATGTATATATAACTGAGTCACCTTACTGTGCAGAAGAAATTAACACATGATAAATTGACTTCAATAAAAAATAATGTGTCTGTATTTGTAGGTAAGGTCTTTAAAGAGGTAATGAAGTTGGAACTTCCGTGGTGGTCCAGTGGTTAAGATTCCGAGCTTGCAATGCGGGGGTATGGGTCTGAGCCCTGGTCAGGGAAATAGGATTCCACATGCCGTCTGGCCAAAAAACAAAACAGATAAACGGGTGGAGTAACGCTTGTACCACATGTTAAAAAGTCACATCTGTACACATCAGAGCAGAAAACCAAATAAATAATAAAAAGATCTTAAAAAAAAAAAGAAGCGACAAAGTTAAAAATAAAGCCTTCAGGGTGGATCCTACTCTGATATGACTGGTGCTTCTTACAAGAAGTGGAGCTTCAAACACAGACATACAGGAAGGCCCAAGCCTGTGAAGACCCAGGGAGAAGTCTGCAAACAAGGAGACAGGCCTGCAGAAGTAAGAGGCCAGCTGACACCTTGGTCTTGAACCTCCAGCCTCAGGACTGGGAGACAGTAGGTCTGTTGTTAAGCCACGCGGCCTGTGGTTCTTGGCGGTGGCAGCCCTTGCAGCTGAACACGGCGGGCTGTGTCTTTCTCAGCGGCGCGTGGCGTAGCCGTGGGTCTCAACGCTGACGCGGGCTAAGCGCCCTGAAGTCCGTGAGCTCGCGTGAGTCGTCGTTTTCCCTCTTGTTACTTACGGTCCTTATTCATGTATGCATGAGTCTGACCAAGGTCACTGCGCCATTTGTCTTCCTCCTTGGGGTGATTTCAAAAGCGGAGAGGGAGCTTCTCTCGGTAGCGAGTCAGGGACTAGGCGAGGGGAGCCGGGCATGGTCCCGGGCGGATGTGGGCGCCCAGTCCCCGCCGCGCCCCCTGGAGGACGTTAGAAGGAAAGCGCGGCGCTTCCCCCGGGGCACCTCATCCCCGAGGGCCGGGGCCCAGGCCGCCGCCTGCCCGCCGGGGGCACCTCATCCCCGAGGGCCGGGGCCCAGGCCGCCTGCCCGCCGGGGGCACCTCATCCCCGAGGGCCGGGGCCCAGGCCGCCGCCTGCCCGCCGGGGGCACCTCATCCCCGAGGGCCGGGGCCCAGGCCGCCGCCTGCCCGCCGGGGGCACCTCATCCCCGAGGGCCGGGGCCCAGGCCGCCTGCCCGCCGGGGGCACCTCATCCCCGAGGGCCGGGGCCCAGGCCGCCGCCTGCCCGACGGGGGCACCTCATCCCCGAGGGCCGGGGCCCAGGCCGCCGCCTGCCCGCCGGGGGCACCTCATCCCCGAGGGCCGGGGCCCAGGCCGCCGCCTGCCCGCCGGGGGCACCTCATCCCCGAGGGCCGGGGCCCAGGCCGCCGCCTGCCCGCCGGGGGCACCTCATCCCCGAGGGCCGGGGCCCAGGCCGCCGCCTGCCCGCCGGGGGCACCTCATCCCCGAGGGCCGGGGCCCAGGCCGCCGCCTGCCCGACGGGGGCACCTCATCCCCGAGGGCCGGGGCCCAGGCCGCCGCCTGCCCGACGGGGGCACCTCATCCCCGAGGGCCGGGGCCCAGGCCGCCGCCTGCCCGCCGGGGGCACCTCATCCCCGAGGGCCGGGGCCCAGGCCGCCGCCTGCCCGCCGGGGGCACCTCATCCCCGAGGGCCGGGGCCCAGGCCGCCGCCTGCCCGACGGGGGCACCTCATCCCCGAGGGCCGGGGCCCAGGCCGCCGCCTGCCCGACGGGGGCACCTCATCCCCGAGGGCCGGGGCCCAGGCCGCCGCCTGCCCGACGGGGGCACCTCATCCCCGAGGGCCGGGGCCCAGGCCGCCGCCTGCCCGACGGGGGCACCTCATCCCCGAGGGCCGGGGCCCAGGCCGCCGCCTGCCCGCCGGGGGCACCTCATCCCCGAGGGCCGGGGCCCAGGCCGCCGCCTGCCCGACGGCGCAAAGGATGCCGCCCGCCGAGACAGGGGGGCCGGAGTCGCTCCGGTGCTCCGCCCTGGGTTCAGGGCGCAGCGCTTTGAAGAGGCCGGAAAGGGTATCTTCTTGTAACTGGTTAAACTCCCCGTCTCAACGTGTCTTTCTCAACTGGTCTGACACAAGGTGGGAGATTCCCACGGAGCTTGCTTTTTCGAGCTCACGCATCACAGAGTCTTATAAAAACGTGAAAGCAAAAGGTACCCTTGAAAAGTGACGGTTTATTCACAATTAAACCATACGTCTGTGGGCTAATTAGGGAAAAGCACTGACTGAGCACCAACTACGTGTTTTATGTGCATCGTCTCATTGGACTTTTCACAATGAACCTAGCAGTGAAGTGAGGTGAAGTCGCTCAGCCGTGCCCGACTCTGTGCGACCCCATGGACTGTAGCCCACCAGGCTCCCCCGTTCATGGGCCTTTCCAGGCAAGAGGACTGGAGTGAGCCGGGTAAGTCACACTGCCTCGTTTTCCGCAGCGGGAAGCCAGCGCTCAAAGGGTTGGGGCCTGTTCAGGGCCACGCAGCGGAAAGGCGGCCCGGGTGGGGTTCCTTGACTGACGCTGAGTTTTTTCTGCCCTGCTCTCTAGGTCCTTTCGCCCTTTCGTCAACTACAAATTGCAGCTTGCCAAGGGCACTTGCCGTCTGCCTCTGCTGAGACAGGACCCTGAAGCTGCTGCAGCTGCTGACCTTCGACGCCCCCTGAGGGGAACTCAGGGTGGAGAGCGAGGCGCCCTGTGCTCCAGGAAACTCGTGGGACAGGTCTTTAGATGGTTAGCCATTTTCAGGAACTGATTTCAAGATCCCAATGCTTGCATCTCTCCATACCTAGAAAAGCACTAAATCCCTTCATGGTGACATCAGCTCCTTGTGACTAGCAGAAAACCTTTTGTAAAGTAAGCTCTTGATTGCATTGAACTCCCCCTTCACCGAAATCTTATATAATGACCTTCCCCTACAACATCTTTGGAGCAGACTTTCAGAGCTTTCTGAGGGGCTGTCTCCCAGGCTGCAGTCCTCGTTTTGCCCCTAATAAAGCTTAACCTGCTTAACTCACATTGTGCACCTTTTTGGTTGACACTTCCTTCTTCTTAAAAAATTTTATTTATTTTTTTATTGGAGTATAGTTGACTTACAACATCGTGTTAGTTTCAGGCGTACAGCATAGCAACTCAGAATATATATATATATTCTTTTTCAGATTCTTTTTCCTTGTAGATTATTACCAAATTCTGAGTGGAGCTCCCTGTGCTATATTGCCGGTCCTTGTTGAGTATCCATTTTATATACAGGAGAGTGTATCTGTTCATCCCAAACTCCTAATTTACCCCTCCTCCCCTCCCCCCTGTGTTTTCCATGTCTGAGTCTGTTTCTGTGCTGTAAATAAGTTCATTAGTACCGTTTTTAGATCCACCTGAAAGTGATAGATTTTATCTGTCTCTCTGTGATCATTTTACGATCATCTCTCTGTTGCTGAAAATGGCATTATTTTCTTTCCTTTCTTCCTTAACTAAGTTTTATATGTTTACCCAGCTTGCAAATGTTTTCTGTGTTTTTCAGATGCAGCATTTCCTAACAAATAAGGACTGAGAGGAGAGGCCGAGACCGAATGGAATGGGCTGGATGTGGGAGATGGGAGGACTTGATTTCTGGTTCTGCCTGGGGGTGGCCCGGCGTTGCCAGCGCTGTGTGTCCTAGAACCTCATTCTAACTCTATTAGTTGGCAACTACCGCCCACATTTCCCTTTTATTTCAGCAGGCAAGTATCTTACAGTTAATGGTTTTAATGTTATTTGGGTAAAAGGCATGCAGAGTATGAATCAGTCACTAACATTGCTTCACCTTCAAAAACTGGACAGGATTGCGTATTTTTTTTCTCATATCAACGCTCTAGTGAAAAAATGTATTTATTTGATTTAAGCAAAAAAGATCATTCTAACACATTTTCAAAGTTACAGGTGCTGATAATAAAATGCTAGGGTAGAAGTAAAGACAGATACCTGGAAATCAAAATAAGGGTTTTTCTTGAGCAAAATATGGGCTTTTCTACATTCTACAGTAAGGCAAATCTCTTATTATTCCACTTGTTATATCTAGAACAAAATCTCCAAATGCTTCTTACATGCATTATTTGTTCTGCATTTTCTGACTTTTTAGGTTTTAAAACTTTCAACTTACGTCCTGTGAAGAAATTTATATTTGAAGTTCTTGCTCATGGGTAGGGAGTTTTGTTTTTTTTTTAAACAAACTACTTATTGAAAAACTAGTTTCACTTTGCTCATTCTTCAGGGACCACATTGAAAGAGACAAAGTTCAGCTTTCAAATGCAGACAGAGCAAATATTCTAGGTGTTTAAAAACGTTTAGTAATAATAGTTCCCAACAGAGACAAATTATGCCAGCTTTGAGCTGTCCTTTCCTTCTGGAATTCACTGGGGGCCCAGAGTTCCTCGTCTTGGCAGAAACACTGGCAATTCCACATCCACTCTCAGGCCCCTGGAATTCCAGTGTAAAACTGCTGGGGTGACTGGCATTCTGGAAATGTCCAACCCTGCTGCTGGGGAGGAGGGATGGAAGGCAGGCAGGCAGGCAGGGAGGAAGAGAGGGAGAGGAGCGGGGAGGGGAGCAGGGAAATATTTTCTGGAAGACTGTCATTTTTGAAAAATTCTTTGGCTGCAGTGGGTCTTTGCTGCTGGGCCAGGCTTTCTCTCCTTGTGGTGAGCAGAGGCCACTCTTCGCTGGGTTCTTCCGGGACCAGGGATCAAACCCGTGTCCCCTGCATTGGCAGGCGGATTCTTATCCACGGAGCCACCATGGAAGTCCCAGTAATTGTCATTTCTAATGACTGATGAAGCCTGGAGAGATGAAAGCCAGACCAGATTTGACTGGAAGTCTAAGCCACCCCGACCCCCCTGCACTTGCCCAGCGGCCCATGGCCCGCGTGTCCACTCTGCTCCCCGAGGTTCCTGCTCCCCACGGCGCCTTCCCTGGGCAGCAGGCGGTGAGGGGGGAAACTCTGGTCGGTCATTTATTTCTTGGTGTTTCAGCAGTTCTTGAATCTTCCAGTGAAGGAAAGGCTAAAATGAACTAGTTGTTTGGCTGATAACCTGAATTAGTTATGTGGCTTTTCTCCGGCTTCAATATACACAATTTGTTATTCGTTCAGGGGGCTATTGAGAGTTGGAAGGAAGGTTCCCAACTTTAAATGACTTGAGGCAAGTGGGACCTGGTTCAGATAAGAGAAGGCTGGTGTAAGAAAAGGAAATGAGAGGACAGGTGTCCAAGCTAGGACCTGCCGGACAAGCTCTTGGGAAGGCAAGGAGGTGGGCAACTCGACAACTCACGGCAGAGTTGCACCAGGTCTCACCATTTTTACCTCATTTGTCTTCATTTCTTGGCTTTGGTCTTTTAACTGTTGGCGGCTATCAGACAGAGGTAAGTGATGAGGCAGACAAGGGCTTAAGCTTTTTTTAATTGGAGTCTAGTGGCTTTACATTGTTGCGTTACTTTCTGTAGTACAACAAAGTGAATCAGCTATACATATACATATTTCTCCTTTTTTTTGGATTTCCTTCCCATTTAGGTCGCCGCTGAGCGCTGAGTAGAGGTCCCTGTGCCGTGCAGGAGGTTCTTTTTACAGAGTCGCATGTGTGCGTCTATCCCAATCTCCCAACTCATCCCACCCCCTTTTCCCCCTTGGTGTCCATCATGTTTGTTCTCTCCTGTGTTTCTGTTTCTGAAAGCTTAAATTTAAGACTTCTTGAGTTTTAAAGCATTCTTTTCTCTCCAAAGAAAAGCAGTCTACCAAAATCTGTTGAGGACTGGATTTTAGTGCAGAAGTGAAGTGAAGTGAAAGTTGCTCAGTTGTGTCCGGCTCCTTACGACCCCATGGACTATACAGTCCATGGAATTCTCCAGGCCAGAACACTGGAGTGGGCAGCCTTCCCCTTCTCCAGCAGATCTTCCTGACCAGGAATCAAACCGGGGTCACCTGCATTGCAGGCAGATTCTTTACCAACTGAGCCATTAGGGTTAGTAAAACTATAGTATTAATCGAGGATTCAGTTTTCCATTTTTGTAAAAAGTGGAGCTTCACCTCTTTAACTCTGCAGTTTTATCAGGGTGTGTGTGTATGCTTAATTCTTATCAATGTTGTAGGCTAGGGTGGGTCATGTGTTCAAAGGTGGGACAAATTAAGCCTTTCTTCTCACTATCAACTGAAAAAAATACACCACCTAGAAGTTGGGAATTATGTTTTATTCCGTGGACTTTGTGAGGGTTTAAGCCCAGGACATGGCCTCTCAGATGGCTCTGAATCACTGCTCTGAAGAGGTAAGGGAGGAACAAGGACATATACAAGCTTTTGCAACAAAAATCAGGTAATCAGAATATAAAAAGATTTTGCTGTTGTTCAGTCACTAAGTCGTGTCCAACTCTTTGCAACAACATGGACTGCAACACACCAGGCTTCCCTGTCCTTCACCATCGCCCGGAGTTTGCTCAAACTCACGTCCACTGAGTCGACAATGCTATCTAACCATCTCATTCTCTGCCTCTCCATTCTCCTTTTGTCTTCAGTCCTTCCCAGCATCAGGGTCTTTTCCAATGAGTCCGCTCTTCCCATCAGGTGGCCAAAGTATTGGAGCTTCAGCTTCAGCATCAGTCCTTCCAGTGAATATTCAGGGTTGATTTCCTTTAGGACTGATTACAAAAGATTTCAGTTAAAGAAAACCAGATAACCCAAGTTAATGAAGTCAGTGCTTTTCTAGCTGTGGGAAGATGCAAGAGTCGGGGCTCTCTGAAATCACTCTCAGATGTGCACCTTAGCTATCTGGGGCCAGAATCCTGTTTCTCTCCATCATGAATACCCTCAGGGTGCACGGCCGGGGCGAGGGGGCTGGCGACTGCAGTGGCTGTGGGCTTGAGGGCTGCAACATCTTTTGTCCACATCACCCTCAGTTTGCTGCCACTGGAAACTTGAAAAAACAAATGAAAATCAAGAATCTGGGTGAATGGCAAAGCCACAAGATTCTGCCATCTGCCTTTCTTCCCCTCCAGCTATCACCATGACGACGCACATCCAAACAGCGTGGCCAGGCTTAGAGATGTGGTCCTTGCCTTCTGGTCCTCCTCACGGTTTTTGACATGAAGTCCTTGGCGTCAGACCATCCGGCCTTTGTCCGAAGCCCCGGGTTTAGGTGCACACTGGCCCTGTGAGACGGTGGCTCCTGGTGCTGGGGAAGGCGGCCTGGGGTCCTCAGGAGACTAGCTAGGCTTTCCCCAGGCTGGAGTGATGGGTAGGGAGGAGGAGGAGGGGGTGGTGAGAAGGGGGTAGGGGCCTCTGCACCTGGGGCCCGATGGGACCTGTGTGTGCTCCGAGGGCAGCGAGCAAGGCCCCTTCCCCTCGCCTCCAGCTCCAGCTGTGGATGCAAGCTCAGCTGGTAACTGGTGGAAAACAAACATAGCTCACTTTATAAAGTCAAAGAGTGTCAGTCGCTCAGTTGTGTCCGGCTCTTTGCTACATCATGGCGTAGAGTCCTCCAGGCTCCCGGTCCATGGAATTCTCCAGACAAGAACACTGGAGTGGGTAGCCATTCGCTCCTCCAGGACCCCTCCCTCCCTTCCCGATCCAGAGATGGAACCCTGGTCTCCCGCGTTGCAGGTAGAGTCTACCGTCTGAACCACCAGGGGAGCCCCAATTTATAGAAGATTCACTAATCTCTGATTCACGTTTCCACCCTCCCTGGAGTGCTGGAACCTGAACCTGAATCAGTTTTGGCCTTCCTGAGGGCCACACACAGGCAGCCTGTGAGCCACAGTGGGGGGCTTCCAGGGGCCGTCTCCCCCGGGTCACCCCCAGGGCACAGAGCTGTACCCCCAGCGACCCTGGTCTTGTGCTGGGTAGGGGAAGCTCGATCTGCCGTGTCTGTGACATGTCAGGGGCATGAACCTCAGAGGCACGCTGGAGGACCCCCCTCAAGTCTGACCCCCTGTGTGGGCCCCAGGGAAGCCGGCGCCCACCCCCCTCGGGTCTCACAGGCCTCTTTGGGCTCCTCCTAGGAGGCGGGCAGGCGGCTTCTCGCTCCAGCCCCCTGCCCCCAGATCTCTGCTCTTTCCAGCTGCAGGAATTTCCTTTCCTCAAGGATCAGCTGGAACATGTCTCTCCTACAGATGTTTCGCTGGCTCCCGGAGGTGAAGCAGGGAACTGACCTTCGCTCCTGCTCCGGGGCACTGCCCCCCCGCTGCGGGCCAGGAGCTGGTGCTGGGGGGTGGGATGGGGGCAGGGAAGCCCGGAGGAGGAGAGGGTAAGGGGGACCCCTCAGAAGGGCTCCCCTGCTCCTGCGTGCTGAAACTCGCTTGTCTGATTTCCTTCTGCTGCAAGGGCTGGGCGCCCAGGAAGCTGGGACTGCGTCTGCATCTTTGCACGTATCCTTGGTGAATTTCGGGACGTCGTAAACCAGGGTCTGGTACCTTATATGGAAAACCCTGAATCCCAGAGGCTCCCGACTACCCTTGCTGCCCGAAGGGACCGGAGGGCCGGTTCGGGGGATGAAGGGATGGAGCGGGGGAGGGAGCCCCACGTAGGGAGGGGTCATGGGAAGCATCATGAGTCTGCATCTAATAAGTGCTCCTGACCATTTTTTGTGAGCTTGGTGACAGTTTTATTACGTGGAGGATAGGAAACTCCTGAGAGACGCCAGCTCTCCAGAGGAGAGGTCCCAGAATTGTCCACTGAAAAGCAAGCGAGTGAATGAGTGAAAAAGTGATTCAATTCCAGTCCTTCAAGACCCGTGAGCAGCAGCAGCATTCACTTGTATTCCTTAGGTAGCTGGGTCAGCAGGATCACAGAAGTTCTCTACATCTACTTAAATAGAAACCACAGTGAGACAGAATCAACCCCAAATTAAAACTGAGCGACTAAATATAACTCAGATACCAAGTATCTTCGCTTTCATCTGGGAAGACAGCCAAATGATACATGTTTGGATTTATTTATTTTTTTAAGGGGAAACTAATTAATTACTTGGTAAATATAGTTTGCTAGGCCAGATTGCTCGGAACGTGAGAGAAAAAGGATAAAGAATGGTTGCTAGTGATTCCAGCAAAGTCTATTATTTAAAAGCTGGTTACTTTCAGACAAGGGGCAAATATTTGCCTATTTATGTTGGCCTTAAATGTATTGATGTATTTGAATAAAGATTAGACTGACAATTAATCAGTATCAACATCCAAGGTTTACTTGAAGCTGGAATTAACTGAAGTCAGTAAACTCTGCTGCGGAGTCAAAAGCCCGAGGCTTATCAAAACGATTGAAAGGTTTGGGGTTTGCAGGACTGATGGGCCTTTCGTGTCTGTGTTTGTTCTCAGCCTCTGAACCAGCTGAGTGGGTGGCACTGCTCAGGGACCCCACTGTTTGACTCTTGCCTTTGGTGTTTCTGACCTATTTAAGGAGAGCAAATTTCCGGCCTGAGGCTGCTACGCTGAGTTCTCCTAAAATACTCCTTCAAAGTTTATTCTCCAGCAGCAGGATGGAGAGTGCCAGCTTGGGACTGGCACACTAGTAGACCAAGATCCCCTTTCCCGGGCGCCCACCGAGGGAGGGTGGTGGCTAGGGAGGGAGAGAAGGGAGGAGACACAGGACTCACTCTACAGACCCGGGAACAGGGTAAGCAGAGTGCAGGGACCCCTTACTCCCGAGGCTTCCAACCCCGTCTTCCACATCAAACCGGAGCCCGAGGCCCCCCTCTGGCTTTCTCAGAACCCCGGTTTCCTAAAATATTCACAGATGCCACCCCCTCCCCGCTCAAGGAGGGGCTCTGTGATTGAAGGGTGCTTGAAACAAATTTGAACAACTGTTTTTCTCTCTTGCAAGAATTCTCAGAACCTCTAATATATTCGTTTACATTGAGAATCTCTTAAGAAGAAAAGAGGCAACCCGTGACATTTAAAAGTTTTCGTGATTGTCTACACATCCAGCACGTGTTTTCCCTCGAAAGGGTT